TTATTCACTAAGCATCAGAGTCCAACAATGTTAGATATACTGGTAGATATAGCGGTGCTTAGCAGCAGAGAAGTTCAGAATATCCTCAATATCAGTGTCATCTAACAGAAGTGAGTTTTACTGGCTCATTGACTCATTTCGGACTCCCTTCACAAAGCCTCCTCCAGAATAAATGTATGCACCCAGCATATTGCTAACGTAAACAGTGGACTGACAGCCTACACTTACTACAGATGAACGTCAGCCAGAGTATTTTGAGTGGACTTAGGGGTAAAAATGTAAAATGCTGCATTTTTTTTCTGGGGTGATATTATTCAAAAATGTTAAAATATAGTGTGTAGAAAAATGTTTTTGTACAGAAATGCAAAGGAGCTGGCTATGGCTGTTTTATAGAGCAGTCTAAATGTAATGTTTCACTCTCTTGGCTGCCATACACTGTAGCTAGGATTATATATTAGAATTAGGAGGGGTAAGAAATCAGAACTCAATTGACTGCAATCTACTGACATCTAGCAGTGGGATTTTACACACTGTACCTTTAAATGTAGGGATTGCATGTTCTCTCCTAGTACTCCAGCTTCCTCCACAGTCCAATAACTTAATCCAAAAAACTGGCTATCGGTATAAACGTGATTGTGAATGATTAACTTGCTCTAGTTGTTGATCCTGCAATAGGTAAACTGGAAAAAATAGTAGTGAAAATGTATGGATGGATAAAATTATAGGGGTGGTATGGTGGTGCAACGGTTAGCATGGTTAATTCATGGTGTCTGGTTCAAGTTCCAGCTGGGGTCTTTGTGTATGGAGTTGGTGATTTTAAATTTGTGATTAAATATCTTCATTGGGTATATTGTTATTTTAAACGTTAGTATCACTATCAGTCCAGAATATCACAGTCTCCACTCACAAATTGTTTTGTCCTTGATTGGCACGTTGCAGCCACTGGTTTTTATAGTGTTCCCACAGATTTCTGTTTATTGTAAAAACTGTGATCCCTAACTTTGTTCTCAAACACCACGCTTGTGGCACATCATATAATTATGGCACCACACTACAGCTTTTTGTACTGGTGTTCTCTGGAGTGTAACTATGAACTCAAGGGACCATTTCAGAGCTTTAGTTATAACTTTGCCCCAGTTTACTACAAGTACTGAAGCAAATAAAATCAGTTTATTTACAGCAAGTGCAGTTAGTATATAAAGTATATAAAAACAAAACATTTTTCTTAACAGGATCTAACATAGTTACCCTAGAAAAACTTTGATGTTTAGAAGTTTTGCTTGGATCATGGGACATAGGAAACCTTTCTGTGGGAGATTTCCTTTTATAATCACATGACACAGTTTCTATGAGTGGAGCTGTCCTTTGTCTTTATGTAAGCAGCTTCTTTTCCTAAATAACAACACAAAGGACATTGTTCTGGCACTGCTCTGAATACGGCTTTATTGTCCAAGTGCCTTTTAGACCCAAACTTGTTTTCAGACTGGGTCAGCTAAGTAACAAATTAGGTTATTTAATCTCAAAATGATGTTTTGATGCATAGCTGGTCTTGAAAAAAGATTTATGTTTAGTCAGTCATGTCTAAACAAGGACATATGTTTTAATAAGTTTAGGTTTAGTTATTTATGGCTCAGATAAAATATTGCAAAGGCTTTTTCCACTTCATTGTGTTGAAGGTATTAAATTCAATGCAATTAAATGTTAATAAAGTTAGTGTTCCTTGCTCATTAGCTTTTGAATACAGTTTAATCTTATGTATTTATTTAAAGATGGGGAAACTGCTTTGTATTTATTGCAGTATGTTTTAGAGCTTTGGCTGATACTGCTTATCCCACAGAACAGTGTCCTCCTCATACAGTACAAACTGTTGACAAAAAGTGTATAATGCAAACACTGCACTACCCCAACTAGTTTCTTTCCTGCTTTGCTTTGCTTTTATTCCACACTCTTTGCATGTACTAACACTGAGATGTTGAATATGTTAAAACCTAACTTTATTTGTTTCTTCAGCTATACTGAATGTTTCCTTTTCCTTTGACAAAGCTAACTGATTTCATGTGGATGATAAAAGTGATTGTAAATGTGATCAGCAGCCCACAAAAGCAATGAGCATACTAGACCAATGTATTACAGGTTGATGAGTTGACAGTTACTATTTCCCAAGAAGTAGGGAGGTACAATCTATTTTTCTATTTCCTCATACTTTGAAAAGTCAGGAATCGAGAAGTGACCTGTAAATATTTACTACACATTAGGTAATGAAAATATGCATGACTATACACATTGTGGTGTTAATCAGTGAGAAAAATAACACATCAGTTTACATGAAATTTAAGATAAACAATGATAATTATAAATACCATTAATAATTTTAAAAAACCGCACTGTGCAGTGCCATACAAAATACAGTAAGTACTCCTCTGTAATTCAGTGAAAGACTGTAAGATATGTAAAGCCTTAATAAGGTGTCAAGTATAAACAGTGTTATCTCCTTCAGGTTTAATAGTTCATGTCACAGCTTGTTTTGTGATACTTCTTACCAGTCATGAGCAAACTTAGTCTTTTGTTTCTTCCCATGAGGCTGAAACAGTTTACTGATTGTGTTGAAGCCTTTCGTCTGCTCTCTGTACTTCTCTATATCTTCTGCTTTCAAATTCTGCTTCATTCCCAGAAGTGCTCTGACCTCAGCCGGAGCACCTTTGCCCAGGTAGTAAAAGGCCTTTTTGCCATCATTGTCTCTTTCGTTTACATTGGCTCTGTATCTTTGCACAAGCAGAACCATGACCTCAGTGTGCCCATGTATGGCAGCGATGTGCAAAGGCGTGTAGCCTCCATGTGCTTTGGTGTTGACGTTTACATGGATGCCACGTTTCCTGGGGATGTCCATGAGTTTGCGTATCATTTCGCTGCTGCCGTCTTTAGCAGCCCAGTGAAGTGCTGTGAACCCTGACATGAAGTCTTTCCTCTGGGCTAAACCAGTGTCCTGCAGCAGCAAAGCATATATATGTCCCCACATCCCAGCTGCACACTTCACCAACCACTCATGAGCCAGTCGCTCCAAAGGCACAGACTCTGAGTACTTGGCATCATCTGCTTGTCTTGTGGTCTTGTTTGGCGCCCTCACCTCTGGTAAAACTCGTGGGTGTGTGTCATCTGTGTGTGTGACCATCTTACTTTGGATTTCTCTGGATATACCCTTGCAAGCGGAAAAGTTTGCGTTTGAAGTTGGTGCTGGTCGTGTAGAAACTTTAGCACTCGAATTAATTGGTTTGTCTAAAGTTATCTGCTGATGCACTCGGGAGTGTGATCCGTCCAGTGCTGCTGCTGCACAGTCTCTCCCTGGAGATTTCACAGCTATGACAGCGAACACAGCTCCAGATTTCCCCGCTCTGCTCGCCTGATCTCCGGAGATATTCAGGATCTTAACAGTGGTCGTATCCTCGATATTCACGTTTCCAGATAACACACTCTTTTTCTGCATTTCCCACAGGGACATGTGTTTTACATCGGTGTTAGAACTGGGATTAAAGTTTGAGGCGTCGCCTACGTTATTGTTTTCTATATCTGAGTCAGTCCTGGCTGGCTCGGCTCGGTCTGGAGATGTGCAGGAAAAACTCGTGTTTTGGCTGGAGAAGCTCTCATCCATCTGCAGTTTCTGCGACACATCCTGTGCCGCCTCTTTAATAAAGTCCTGGTACCTTTTCTTCACCACCACAAACTTCACCTCGTCGATCTGTTTGACCACAGCGACGCTGTTCACCAGCTTCTTGAAAAGCTCTCTATTGTGCTGCTTTTCCGCGGGATCGCTGCAGTTGATGCGGAGTCTGAAATGGTTTAGCAGTTCCGAGTTCTTTACTTTGCCTCCGTGCTCTAGTAAAAAGGACAAAATGGACTCTTGGGTCAGATCCATGTTGTCCCGGCGGCGCAAAAATATGAAAAGATATAGCGGATGGTTTAAGTAGAGCCCAAAGGATAATCCCGCACTGCCTGCTCCCCTCTCTGCTGTCCTGCACCAACCTGCTGCTTCCGGCGCCTCTCCAAATAAATCCACCCGTATGTTATTGCGGCCCTCCCAGTTAAAAGGACTGTGTGCAGGGCTGACCCTCCCGTGATCAGTGGATTCATATAAAAGCTTAAATCTTCTGTATTTTTTCTTTATCAGCGTAGTATTTATTTACGTAGTACACGAGTACACGAGTTTAGCTTAATTTAAGATGTGTGTGTATGTATATGTGTGTGTGTATATTATACGGGGTTACACTTACATACCACAAATATATTAAATTTCTCAAATATTTCATCATTGAGGGCTTATAAATTAAATTACACTGAAAAACGAAATTAATAAATACACGAGAACTGGAAATAAACATATTAAAAGCTGTCTGCATGTTGTAGCTGGTCACGGACGCCTATTTAAAATATTTTGCATTTTTTACACGGTTAGTCTTTCCTTTAATTATATATTTTCTCTGCAAAATTACATTTTCAACCATGGTTATCAAATAAATATTTAAGTAGCATTATATAGAAAAAGCAACGTGAACAGGTATTAAATGCATACATTTTTCCACGGTCCTACTGTGTCGTTCATTTTCTTTATAGTCTCTGTACTCTGCTGTAACCCCACTGAAATTTCATAATCATAATCGTATATAAAAACACTTTCTGGGCCAGATATTACTGTTTAGTGTAAATATATAAACCTTGACAATTACGTACTACAGGTTTTCAAGTCAGAAAACTGGATGAATATTGGAAAGCGGCAGAAAAAACTCCCTCTAATAAATAAATTGTACAATTTTCATTTCCATTGAAAATAATTACAAATCATAGTTAAAAAGTGCTCCCATTGTGAACCAGATTTTCCGTGGCAGTCGATGCAAACCCAGTCAAAGCAGTTATTATCGTAATTTCGCGTAAAATCTCATCAAAAGCAACTATCTCGGTGTAGTTTAGTATATTTCGAGCTGGTGTAATATCATCCTCCAGCACCGAGGGGGTGTTGCCTTCAAGTAGCCATATTGAGAGCAGTGTGAGTCTGTGTGTGATGTGGATGGAGTGCAGGTCGCGCTGAACACTCATAATTCCTGCACACAGCCACTTGTGACGATGGCGACCAGCGAGGTGGATGCTTTTGCGGTAAGTACGACGGTGGGCTGTCTGCGGGCCTGCAGCGGTGACGAGCGGTTTTTAGAAGAGCAGCATTGAGCTAGCAAACGGTTTCTTACATTCGGGTGTAAATAAGAGCAACGTGATGTGTGCGGGGATTGCAGCAGGAGGGCTGCGGTGATGAGGAAAGCTCGTTATGTGTAATGAATCGCGATGAAGATGGTTGATTCAGCGGAGAAATGCTTCGTCGCTCCGTTTTGAGGAGCTGGTCCTCGGAGACGTGCGGAAAGCGCGCACTTCAGCATCCAGGCGCGCTGTCTTGGACGAAACAGCACGGAGCCCTGCTGTGTGTCAGTACTTTCCTGTTCACCGTGTCAGCACCTCTGACAGGTGTGCACTGGTGCTGAATTAACAGCACGAAATTAGCATGTGGTTGAAGACCAGGCCAGCAATGACTGAGAGACTGAGTTAAGAGGATAAACATAAGTAGTAGTAAGTGGTAGCTACCAGCTCCTCAACCGTCAGCATCATATTGCTCAGCAAAAACATGTCAGCATGTTTCAGCCAGACATGTAATTCAGGGTAATGACATGCGTTAATTAAATCCTATCATGGCTCACCTCACATACCTGGAATTTAGTTTCCTGTCTATGTTGTAAAGGATGGAAGAGTTCAAGTTAATGTAGTGTTTGTGGAGGGGAGCGAGGGGGCTACCAGGGCAGCCAGCAGCTTGGATATCCTCCCATCCTGTGAAATAACATCCACATAAAGAGCTCTTTGTGTGGGTGGGTGTGTGTGAGAGAGAGATGTGAGGGAGAAGCAGAGGATTGTTGTGTTGAAACACATCCTGGTGCTCATGTTGAGCCTTTTTGCAAGATGCCAGGCTCCCAGGGTGAATCTGGTATTGGAGGAACAGTCTCTCACTGCCAACTTACCAGGCTGTAGCATCATTCATCCTACTGCATATAGTTTGGGCTACTATATACAAACTCGCAATACCCAAAGCTCAAGCTGGGAATTCTGATTGAGTTTATCAGCTTGAGTCTCTGGCTACATATACTAGGTTCACTGATATGATTGTCAGTAAGTTACTTATAAGCGCCAGTTTTAAAAATAATTCATCAAACAAATATTTGTTGATGATTTAAATGTTCAATAATAATAATAATAATAATATCTTTATTTTTGTACCTGAGGGCTGAGGGAAGCTGTACCAAAGTTTAGCTGCTATAACGTCTAAAGTATGCTGCAAAACAGTCCCAGGGAGTTTGGTATATACAGAGCAGCTTGTGTATGTTGTTTTTTGTGTGTAATTAATTCATTTTTACTATGAATACTGAATTACACTTGAAGCCAATGAAATCATGAAAAAACACTCTAATCTACTCCATTTCATAACACACGAAGCATATGATACATTTAACGTGACATCAGTGCTAACTGGAATTTGGTTCACTATTTGGATAGTTCCTTTTTATAGATGGGACTGTTCAGTGTGTTAATTGGAAGAGGGAGAGAGAGAGATGACCTCATTTGCAAAAGATGCTTTTAAGCCTAAGAGCAGAGTGTGTGTGGATGGGATGTGACAGATGGACCTTTTAAGCTCACCATTCCAGTCACTGTTTTATTTTGTTGGATATTTACTAGCATAGGATGAATATGGTTTTGTTTTCATTGTAATTTCTCAGAATGAAGAGAAGCGAACTCTGGAGCTCGGTGGCCATGTGGGGTTTGACAGCCTTCCAGATCAGCTGGTCAGCAAAGCATCTGCACAGGGATTCTGCTTCAACATCCTCTGTGTGGGTATGTCTGAACCCAGGAGGAGCTTCAAACTTAGTCCTGTAACCATAACAAGAGTTCATTTGAAATTCACATGCACTCATTCTGCTTCATCTGTAATTTTCGCTCCTTGTTTTTCTGTCTGTTTTTAAGGTGAGACCGGGATCGGCAAGTCCACATTGATGAACACTCTTTTCAATACAACATTTGAAAATGAGGAAGCCAGCCACTATGGGCAAATGGTGGAGCTGCGCCCACACACGTATGAACTGCGGGAGAGCAATGTCAACCTCAAGCTGACTGTTGTACACACTGTAGGGTTTGGAGACCAGATCAACAAAGAACAGAGGTACAGGTTGCTGATGGATGTGATGATGGACTTTTAGATAAAATGACTTTTATTTTATTTTTAAAGAGGAAGAAACAGTTTAGAAATCAAAGAAAACCTTTGAAAATTCACAGAGGTTACACTATAAACCTGATAGATCAGTGCCAACCCTGAATCACTTTGCCATTTTTCTCTTATGCTGAAACAATTTCTGATTGTAAAATCGAGAGCCAGCTCTGCCCCGCTGCTGGCATTTTAATTGGAGTGGAAGAAAGGGAACCCGGGAGTGAGTGATAGAGCAAATGTGGTTTCAATTGCTGTTTGAGTGCTCCATCAGCAGGAAGTGTACGCATCTAACATGCTTGGCTGTGTACAGAGTTTTTACCATGGTTACCGATATGTCTGTTGAACAACATGAAGTTGAATGTTCATGCATGTAATGTTTTTTTTTACTGCAGCTACAAACCCATTCTTGAGTATATCGATGCCCAGTTTGCGAAGTTTCTTGAAGAGGAGCTAAAAATAAAGCGCTCCCTGTTTAACTACCACGACACGAGGATCCACATCTGCCTGTATTTCATCGCCCCCAACGGACATTCTCTGAAGTCCCTCGATCTCGTCACGATGAAGAAACTGGACAGCAAGGTGAAAGGAGATCCAAGCTATGTGTATTTCAGCAGTTATTACTGAGTCCATGACTTATCTTCTGGTTATCTTCAGGTGAACATCATCCCCGTGATTGCGAAGGCAGACACTGTGTCCAGGAATGAGCTAGAAAAGTTAAAGATCAAGGTTATGAGTGAGCTGGTCAGCAATGGAGTCCAGATATATCAGTTTCCCACAGAGGATGAGGCTGTTGCAGAGATCAACTCCTCTATGAATGTGAGTCCTAAAAACAGATAAACATAAAAACATGTGCACCGTGGATTTGGTACCTAATGCTTTTTTAATGCTTAGTTGTAGTCATCGGTTAATCTGCATACTTCCTCTCTCTTTTTTAAGCTACCTAATATTATGCTGATAATCACATGTAAGGATAATCAACTTTGTCATGCCATTTGAAAATAGATGTTCATTGGTGAGGAAACAGTATTTTTAGAAACATTATATAATGCATAATGGCATATTAGGATCCTGGATATGACGCAGCATTATTAATAGCTCCATATTCTAACATTATCAGTACTCTTTGTCACAGACTCTTCTGCCGTTTGCTGTGGTTGGAAGCGTAGACGACGTGAAAGTAGGAAATAAGATGGTGAAAGGAAGGCTGTACCCTTGGGGATCTGTGGAGGGTGAGTCTGCTGAAATGGTTTGGCAGTCATCATGAGGGAGCTGTTTAGTCAGATGCCTGCTGCTCAAATCCAGTTTTTTTTTATTTATTTATTTATTTTAGGTATAAACATGATGGATTTTATGAGCAATTAAAAGACCAGTTTTTCTTTTCAGTGGAAAACGAAAAGCATTGTGATTTTGTGAAGCTGAGGGAGATGGTGCTGCGTGTGAACATGGAGGATCTCCGGGAGCAAACGCACGCTCGTCACTATGAGCTGTACCGTCGCTGCAAGCTGGAAGAGATGGGCTTCAAGGACACAGGCACTGACAGCCAGTCGTTCAGGTGAAATTAGGGAAAGCAGTGATGCAAATGCATCTGGGCAATTTACTTTATCAAAAAAAAAAACCCCAAAACAAAACTCTAGCTTTCTTATGAGGTTAAAAATGTGCAAATAACTTGGATTATTCATAAACAGCACATTAAAGTCAACGTTTTAAGGAGATTTAGATAAAGAATGTGACTTGAAAACTATTAATCCCTCTGTATCACAGTTAAAATGTTTTATAATTTGGTGTGTTTTGTTTTCTAATTTTGAATGTTGAGTTAAAATATTGCTTGTTTATTATTATTTTTTACTATTGCAGAGCATTTTTCTGGATGAGTTCTGTTAGCTGTAGTTAACATTACAGCGTTTGCTCTACAGATTTTATGGCTCAACGAAGTGTGAAGTTATAGGGCAGTAAAGTGAGCATATTATTGACTTTACCCTGATCTTCAGCCTGCAGCAGACGTACGAAGCCAAGAGGAAGGAATTTCTTGTGGAGCTGCAGCGCAAAGAAGAAGAAATGAGACAGATGTTTGTCAACAAAGTGAAGGAGACAGAAGCTGAGCTGAAAGAGAAAGAAAAAGAGGTGAGGATTAACAAAGTCCTAAAAGAACTCCTGTGTGATCATATCTCATATTTGGCTTGTATGACATTGCTTTGTGTATATACATTATCATCACCTGTAGCTTCATGAGAGGTTTGAGCAGCTCAAGCGTATGCACCAAGAAGAAAAGAAGAATCTGGAGGAGAAAAGACGAGAGCTGGAGGAGGAGATGAATGCCTTCAATAGGAGGAAGGTTGCAGCAGAGACACTGATGGGACAGGCACTCCAAGGTTGCTCACAGCAGCCATTCAAAAAGGACAAAGACAAGAAGAAGTAAGTTAATGTGTTTGTATTTACCTTGTGCTGGTTGCTTAATTCACACACTGATTGTCAGCAGAACTGTTAATACAGTCAATGAGTGATACCTTGAGATCAAGCTATTTATGGATAACCATTGTCAATCTACATTATATTCACTGACCTTCCATATCATGGAGGTCAGTCTTTGTGGTGTTTTTTGGAAAAGGGGGAGCAGTAGAACGTGATTAACGAGATAGTGTTATCTTCCCGGAGGCTATGTTGGCTCAGAAAAGGATACGGGGACAGATTCAGACTGACACTGTGTGCCCAGACGCTGTAGGAAGGGTCACAGCTTGGATGACACAGCCTGATGCTTATGTCTCTGCAGGCTGACCTGCCAGACTGTATCTCGGGCAGGGACAGTTCTGTTTACATTGGACTGGTCTCACCGATGCTCA